AGTTCTAAAATCGGCTACATATAATTATTTAAATAATCTTTGCCTACAAAACCACTATCAATGTGATCAAAGAAAACCAAGAATTTTACTAAAACAAACACAAACCGAAAATCGAGTTATATGAAAATTATTCAATTAATGATTTATTTTTTATTTAGATCATTTTATACTATTTCCATCTATAGTAGGTAATTATTAATGACTTGAGAGGAAAATGCTCATAAAATGTTCGGGTATGAAAAAATTGTATGTTATTAAAAACCTAATTGTAAACAACATTATTAGTTTGATTATTGGGCACACTACAATAAAATGATAAAATTTCAATGGAAATATATTCCAAAATAAATTATTAAAATGACAATTCCAACGGATATTTCAATACTATTATTTTCGTTGGAAATTTTCAATGGATTCCAACGAAAATCCCAACAAAAATATTCCGTTGGAATGAATTTTCTATTTGAATTTTCGTGGGATTTTGACGATTCCAACGGTGGATTTTTCAACGTGGTGGAAATAAAAATTCCAACAGAATTTGCATATTCCAACGGAAATTCCTACGGTAAAAAAACCATTGGAATTATAGCAGTTGAAATCATCAAATTTCTAAGATTGATACTCACTCTTGTTTATAGTCATGACAATATAAATGAATGTTTATCTAAAAAACTTAATCTTTGAAATGTAGTGATCATGTGTTATTTTTTAATTTCGTGATTGATGGAATCTTTTATTAATTAGTTGGTTTAAATGAATATATAACAAATTTTGTTGCCAAACGTTATTAGAGTTTTTAAATTAATTTGTGTAAATGCATAAATAAAAAAGACCTAAACTATGAATTTTTTTCATCTTTTGAAATCAAATAAATGACAAACACTATCCTTTAAAATAAATAATGATAATGATTATAACATTGTATTATCAAAATCGATAAGGTATATAAAATTCGTTTTCCTTTTCAAATCGATAATGAAGAAAAAAGTCTAATTGGTGAAAAGATGATATATACAAATCATGATTTTAGAAATCTGATATATACAAATCTTAGCATGCAATTTCAAACAATTTAATAATATAATAATAGACTGAATGAATTATGATTCAGATTCATGCAAAGAAAATTTTGAACAGATTTCTAAAATCATGATTTTCCTTGGAGATTTATTCGGATTTCCAAATTGTTTGGAAATCACGATTTCTAAGATCATGATTTATTCGGATTTCCAAATTGTTTCAAAAAATAGGAGATTTATTCAGATTTTGATTCCTTATTGTTTACCAATATAAAAGTATTTGATATTATTAATAAAAAAAATCTGATTTACTGTTTTTAAGAGATAATTAATGAAAGTGGCGGAAATTGTTTCTAAATTTAATTTATGTTAATCCTTATTATATAGGATTAACATATATGTTAACATATATGTTACTTTCACGTAAATACTAATATATATAAATTATTTATAACAATTATTAGAAATATGATTGATTCTTAAAAAGAATCTTTAATTGACAATTATTAATTAAATGTGTTATATTGTATTTTAAATTTTTTTAAATATACGTATGGTAAGTGTATTTCTTAATTTAAGTGTATTAAGTATGGTAAGTGTATTTCTTAGATTTATTTTGATTTTGATTCTATTTTTTTGATTGTATTCCTAAAAAGAAAATTAGATAAAAAAGATATGCTAATAAATAGAGATTTTGCTAATTTACTATTTTTAGGCAATAATTAATAAACTTGGCGGAAAAGTATTTTTAAAAGTGAATTATGTTAATTTTTATTATATATTAATAGATTTCAAAACACTTAAATCCTTAAAATTATAAAAATATATTAAAATTTATTAACTTTTAAATTTAACTAAAGATCTTAGAAACTTTTAATAAAATAATGAAAATGAGAGCACATAATACATATGGAGAATCCCTTCTGCAAATAATAAAACAGAGGAGAAAAAAGAGAGAGCTTTACAATAATCAGTTAATTACATTCACTCTTTCGAAAATAATCACAGCTCGATACAGCCATGGCGAACAACAGCACCAACAGCCACCCCGCGCCGCCGTACCGCCCCTACCGCCTCAAGAAGATCCTCACCGGCCACACGCGCGCCGTCTCCAGCGTGAAATTCTCCAACAACGGCGCTCTCTTCGCCTCCGCCTCCCTCGACAAAACCCTAATCATCTATTCCACCGACACCCTCTCCCAGATCTCCCGCCTGATCGGCCACACCGAGGGCGTCTCCGACCTCGCCTGGTCCTCCGACTCCACCTACGTCTGCTCCGCCTCCGACGACCGAACGGTCCGGATCTGGAACGCACGCGCGGCCGAGTGCTTCAAAACTCTCAAGGGCCACACCGACATGGTCTTCTGCGTAAATTTCAACCCGCAGTCCAACCTGATCGTTTCCGGATCCTTCGACGAGACGATTAGGGTTTGGGATGTCAAGACGGGGAAGGCCGTGCACGTGGTCCGGGCCCACTCGATGCCGGTGACGTCGGTTCACTTTAACAGGGACGGGTCACTGATAGTGTCGGGAAGCCACGACGGGTCGTGCAAGATTTGGGACACGGCCACAGGGACCTTGCTGAAGACGATGATAGATGATAAGGTTCCGGCCGTGTCGTTTGCGAAGTTCTCGCCGAACGGAAAGTTCATTCTGGTGGCCACCCTTGATGATACACTCGTGAGTTTCTGCTTTTTCCTCATTTCTATTGTTTGTTCTATTTGACCTTATTCTGGTTTTTGTTCATTTTTGATTCTTTGTTCCATTTGACCTTAATCTGTTTTTTGCTCATTTTTGATTGTTTGTTATGTTCGACCTTATTCTAGTTCTTGCTCCTTTTTGATTGTTTGTTCTATTGGACCTTATTGCTGTTATTGTTTGTCATCGTTGGTTTATATTTGAGTTTGTTGTGATAGCATACCGTGTATAATGTAGATGAAGTGGGAATGTGGCTTGGTTGAGCATTATTGGGTTGATTTGGTGTAAAAAAAAAGGGTAAAGCAAGAACTTTGAGCAATTGCCATGCTTATTAGCTTGCTTATTAGCTCAGTATACAGTTGGATTTCTATGAGATGGAAGATCACAGTTTGGAAATAATGAAATTTTCTGTATTGATACATTGCTATTCAGTACTCGTAAAGTTGTATTGTACTTGAAAAGGGGCAAGGTAAAAAGGCAAAATGCTGGTATCTTTGCACTGTGGCTTCATTCGTACACGTGCCCCTGTTCTTTATATTGCATGGTCTTTGTTGGAGAGATTGTAGCAAATACAAGTGAGACTGTGAGAATTTGCAAACTTTGAGATTCTTATGGCATATAGCCTTCCTGTTAACAGATACATTTTCGTTTGTTCTACGCTGCTGATATTTGCAAGCTTAGATTGTGTATAATTTTCATTTTCTTAAGTGGCTTCATTTGGACTTGTACCTCTGTCCTTTATATTGCACGTTTTTGTCGAAGAGATTATAGTGAATACGAGTGAGACTTTGCAAACTTTGATATTCTTATTTTCATTTGTTAGCCTGATGGGCTTATTGTAGACCAGTTGGTCTCCGGTTTGTACAAACTCTATATTCGCTTTTGTTGGAGTATATACTTTCTATCGTTTCGGGAAAAAAAAACACTGTTGATTTTTTGGTGGCTTGAATTGGATTTGTGTATAATTTTCATAATGTTTTGCAGAATTATTTCCTTTTTCCTTGTGGAGATTATCCATTTTTTAGTTATATAATATAAATATGGTCCTTTCCGTTTATCAATTGCAGAAGCTATGGAACTATTCAGCCGGGAAGTTCTTAAAGTTATATACGGGCCATGTGAACAAAATCTACTGCATAACCCCAACATTCTCGGTGTCAGGCGAGAAGTATATAGTGAGTGGATCGGAGGATAAATGTGTGTACATCTGGGATTTGCAGAGTAAAAATCTCATCCAGAAACTTGAAGGGCACACAGACACTGTTGTGTCGGTTACATGTCATCCCACACTGAACATGATTGTTTCTGCCGGGCTCGAAAATGACCGGACAGTAAGGGTCTGGGTTCAAGACTAATTGATTATGAACGGGTCGGTTTTATTTACTTCGATTTAGTGAGAGGATCCATTTTGCAGAGTTGAGTTTTGTACATTAGGTATGTGGAAGGCCGAGTACCAATTACACAATAGTATGTATGATATAGTAAATACTTTATTGCTTTGTTATTACAGATGTTTCTTCACTTCATTGATAAAAATTACATTAAATCATTTTCATGAACAGGTTCTGACTTTTGAATTTTGATAGTTATGCTCTTGGATTAGCTGTATGCTAAAGAAAACCCACAAGAGAGAAATATTTTGGGAACTCAGTACTATCAGGCAAAACTGTTTGGAGACTCTGTCCCAGATAAGAAAGACAACCCATAATAAACAATGATAATAATTTAAAAAGTAATTAAGATAAATCGCACCCGAATTAAAGAAATCCAATTGCTATAATAATAAGTTAACCCATAAGCATTCCAACCATAAAGAGGTTGATACAAACAACTGAACAAGTCTTTAGTTTCCAGCTCCAGTATACATTATGAAATCATCTAGTACAATAATACAAGTCATAAGGTAATTGCATTGAACGCGCCAAACTGAACGACCATCTTCGTGATATTTGCATCAAGTAGCCAGCCAACCTAAGAGGATAAGAAAGTTAAAATGTCAGCATGAGAACAGAATGCAGGTAGTACAAAGGCGGTCTAACTGAAGTGCATGCACAAAACTAGGAATTATGTTCAGTCATGAGTGTTTTACTGATTTCAAGTTTCAACCATGGTCTGCAGAGACAAAGGGATTAACTAGCTGCCGGTAAAGTAACACTAATAATCACAAAATGGCCGAAACTATTAGGATGGTCTAGATACCTCGAATATTTACATAAGTTCATGCTAATCTCGTAAAAAGCTCCAAGTAAGCTCAGTCGTTTGGTGTAAGCACAGTGATGCATTTTGAATCAGAATTAACCTTATGTGTGCACCATTCGACCAATGCCCACACAGCTTATTAAAATATTGAATAGTCGGCAAACCTAAAATATGAAAAAATATCAAGATATTCATATCTAAAAGTAATTTTTTCCACAAAACAAAAAAGGACAAACCATAATTTATCAACATACCAGTATTATATCTAGCTAACATATGCCAAGACCGAGTCAAGAACAGTAAAGCATCCACTAGCGGCTAGCCTTTAGACATAATCACAACTATATGCTAACCATAGAGATTTAACTTTAAAGGGATTTATTCTGCAACTAATTCCTCAAGCAACATGCCCAGAATATCCACTTCCCATTAATTAGTAAGAACTAATCAGACATTCCTCAGCTTTCATTCATAAAGGGGGGCTAAAAAATTGACCTTTCAAGTATCCCCTTGCGTAGGAAAATGGCAGGAAAAGAAAGATATATACGGGATATATATCAAGCTATATTGAATTGCTGATACAGAAATCATATTATTCAATATAATATGAGTATATGAAATACGAGTACTTTTTGCTTAGTTCAATCTAAATTGCACAGCAAGAAAAACAAGTTCGACTCATATAGTCATATCTCCAACACTGCTTCAACATTTCCAAAATCCAAACACCATCATCCATCACCAGAACAAAAATTGCAGAAAAAAAAAAATGTCTCATTCATTCAATCACCAAACAGAAAATCAATTCCAGAGAAAAAGAAAAAAAAGGGAAGCAAAGCTCAGTACCAAATTTGCAACAACAGCACATGAGAATCAATCATCTCCACCCTCCTCACCCGCCCTTCCTCCAAACGGGTCGTGAGAATGGCTTGTATCCTGCCCAATATGACGTTGCACCAAACGCTGCAAATCGGCCATAACCTTCTGCTCCCTCTTGGCCTTTTCCTCATAGTTAAACATAGCCAGGGCTCGTTTATCCTCCGCGCTGTAAACCTGGTTTTCCTTTCTGATACGGATAGCATTCATTCTCTGGTGCCTACTCCCACTCATCACATACCCAAGAGACTCAAATTTCGAAATCTCATCAGCCGAGAGACCCACCTCACCTCTACGTGGAATACGCTTCCCCTGCTGAACATACTGTGCGATTGCATCACCTTCACCGGGCCTGAGAGCCCCACCATAGCTGATGTGCCCCTCAGCCCTTGGTAGGGGCATTGGGCCTACCACGGGCTCATCGTCAAGATTAGGCTTTTTTCGCTGCTCGATCATCTCCTTAAACTTAAGGAGCTCATCGTTCATATCTTCATCGACTTTGACCCCATCTGCCTTAGGAACAATTTCCTTCACATTGGCTTCTGAGTTTGAGGAGCCTGAATTGTCGCTGTCGGATTCTATCTTCTTCTTGCTCCGTTTGGAACTTGATTTTGATCTTTGTTTACGCTTTTTCGACCTCACACGATCACGGCTCATATCGGAATCTTGGCTTTCGCTCTGGCTTTCAGAATCACTCTTTGCACGCTTTTTCCGGCTGCTTCTCTTTCTCCTACTGCTGCTTTTCCGACTGTGTTTTCTCCTGCCCTTTCTCCTTCTCCTCTTCCTATCTTCCTCAGAGTCATAGTCGCTAGATTCGCCATCCGATTGGCTTTCGCTCTCACTCTCAGAGACTGGTTTTGATCTCCCACTCTTACGCCTTGAACGGGATTTTCTACTTTTCCTTGACCTAAAATCATCTGATTCTGATTCAGATTCAGATTCAGAATCCTCAGACTCCGATTCAGATTCACTCTTTGGCAAACTTTTGGCTTCAGACTTCAGACCTTTATGCTGTTTTTCTTCTTCGACCTCACGATCCTCCTCCTCTGGCTCGCCATCTGATTTTTCATTTGGATCCCTAGGGGGGCTAGGGGTGCAATTCCAAATGCACTTTCTGAGCGATTTTCTCAATTTCTGACGCTTGAGCCTGCGATACTCTTCGTAAGGTAGGCCTTTCAGTTCTTCGTCAGATTCAGACTCCTCAGCTCTCCCGTTTTTGTAATCACGGTCGAGGTAGGATTTTTTGCGATTATCATCGTAATTGAATTCCTTTCTATGGCTGGACCTTTGACCTTCGTCGAGATTAGGGTAGGAGTAATCCGGGGAAGGACGACGGTATCTGCGATAGTCGTTGTTCACAGGGCTTCCACTCCGGCTCCGGCTGAGGCTGCGGCTACGGCTACGTCCGCGGCGA